TGTTCGCGTCAGACCCTGCCGTCCAGAGAAATAGCCACACGCAGAGTTCTGCCGTATCTAAAAGGTTAAAAACTTTTCCATGTTGTGGGAAAAATTCATAAGAAAGAAAAATGACTATTATATATTTTAGAAACGAACAGACATCAATGCATTAAGTTTACCATTTTGTTGTTCTCCGGTAATCGTTAGTAAATACGGACGTGTTATCTACCGCTCCCGAGAAAACAAGTACTTAAATAATAAATACTTTGAGATACAGTGTAACGTACGTTAGGTTTACATCACAGATAAAAGGGTTAAGTGACCAGTGTCCTAGTGAGGTAACACTATGCATCCTCGCAGGTAACCGCGTGTTCAAGCCTATGGAAAAACGCTCTGACCATGGAAATTAATAATATCCCACTTCGTAAAATAGTTAATAATGGCAGGAGCTACATTATTCGAACAAGAGCTAATACCAAAACAAATCAACCGTCGATGAAAACAAAACAATTCTCTAACCTTGCTTGTACACAAAAGAGAATAATCAAAATCAATAATAGAAACTCGTGTATGGAAAGTGAGATGGATACAGAATCAGAAGATTCGCAAAACTGGATTCCTGCTAAATCAACCAAACTACAAAATTCAAAAAAACGCAAGATAAGTGAACAAAAAAAAACCAATAATAATTCTTCCGCACCATTTCCAACAAAATGGCTTCAAGACATATCCCTAAGTAACTCTTATGATCTACTCGACGATTCAACAGAACCACAAAACACTACAGGAAAATTAGAAGAAAAAAAAGCAGTAAAACCACCACCAATATACAYCGACGCGAAAATCATCGACCCTCTGCTCGAGTTACTGGATGAAATAGCTGGACAAAATAATTATGTAATAAAACAACTTAAAAAAAAAAGATAATCAAGTGAAAGTACAAACTACTACACCAGATACGTTCAGAAAGGTAATAAATGCACTAAAAACTAAAGACGCGGAATACCACACGTATCAAGAAAAAAATCAAAAGAGCTATAAAATCGTTATTCAAGGATTTCATCTTAAGTCAAATACAGTTAAAATAACAAATGAATTAGATAAATTTGGTCACAAGGTAAGATCAATAAATAGCATAACAAAATTCGATACTAAATAGCCGCTACCTTTATTTTTTACCAAACTGGCTCCTCAAGAAAATAAAAAAAACATATATGAAATTAATACTCTGCTGAGAATACAATAATTAAAGTTGAACCACCTAAAACAAAAAGAGACATACCACAATGCATACGATGCCAAGCTTATGGACACACAAAAAATTATTGCAATCGAAATCCTGCCTGTGTCAAATGTACACAAAAACATCTAACAACACTCTGTCCTCAAGAGGGCAAAATTGAAAACGTCAAGTATATAAATTGCAACGGTAACCACTCAGCAAATTATAAAGGATGACAGGCAAGGAAACTACTACAACCAAAATTATTTCCAACGCTAAGGAAAAAAGTATTGGAAAAATCTACCCTAGACGATATTGATAAGGAAAGCCACTACAATAAACCTAACGAAAATGCCAGCAAAGATGAAATACCAATATTCGAACACACTACATCAAAAAGAAGCTACGCCGAAGTGACTAAATGAGCACATGCAAATACAGAAGACTTAAACACAGAGGAGACATCGGACACTAAAGAACTATCGAAACAATTAATAAAATACACCGAAATCATAACTTAAATAATATTGGAGCAAAATTCTATTCTAAAACAACAAATGAAATAAATTACCACAATGCTACAACTATTAATAAATACGCTTTTTAACAACAAATAATGGAAATGCCAAAATTGAACAAATTCGTCTAAAATGGTGACAAATGGCTTGGCCAACTGGTAAAAAATCGAAAATTAGTATAGAGAACAAAATAATAATCTACAAAACAATAATAAAACCAATATGTGGACCTATGGAATACCGCTATGGGGTATAGTAGCGAAAAGTCACATTGACAAGCTCGAAGCTCAACAATCCATAACCCTATGCACAATCGTGAATGCTCCATGGTACGTCTGTAACGAAGAGATAAGGAAGAAGAAATAACCAAGGCAACCGGCAGATACAAAATAAGAATTGATACGCACTTAAACCCGCTAGCCAACGATAACTACAACCAATATATCCCTAGAAGGCTCAAAAGAATCCACCCAGGAGACCTAGTAAAAAATTAAATCTAACCGAAATAAATGACAATAGCGACCCTATTTCATTGGAGAAACCGTTCACGTACTATCTTTTTTTACTTATATAACAATTTACATAATGTCTACGGACAAATTCTAAAGATGTATGGAGTTAATAAAAAAAGAAAAAAAAAATCAGTTTCCTAATCGACCATAAATGTATTTTCTTTGCTTTTTAGTTAACCCGTTAAGCAAAGGTTATTGTGTAATATTGAATGAGTCACTTTCGTTGTAAGAAACAAACGGATATCGTTTCATGAGAATTTAATGAATTTTGCGAAATTATCTTCGAAGTTTGAGTTCAAAATTAAACTAGCGGTACAATTAAGGTGCTTCTGTCTGAAGTTATTCCTTAGAAATATTCCCGTTTTGATGAAAGATGGAGGATTATCTTGTTCCGTAAAAAGAACGAAGTTTTGAGGAAAATTCTTGTGGTTTATTTCAGCAGACTGAAAAACGTTAAGAATCTTTTTAATATTCACGAAAGATCCATTAATTATTTCAATTATCGTTAGAAATTTATTACGTCTTTATTATTATAATATTTCTGATTAAAATTTTTTACGAAGTGAAAATTATATATACAGGATGATTCATCTAATATGCAATCTAAATGGTAAACTATTGCATAGACAAGCATATCTTAAAAATGCAAAATGACAAAAAATGAATTGTTAAATTTTCGTGGCTTTTTAAATACCATATTACGTTTATTTAAAACATTTTCGGATATATTAAACAATTAAAAAATCATTCTAATGGCATGCAAATGTGAATCATTTTGTATATAATGATTTCTTAACGTAGTTAAAATGTTTCCATTGTAATAAAGTATGTAGAAGTATATAAAAAATACTGGATCAGGACTGTATCTAGCTTTATAAAGTAAAAGCGTAATAGCTTTGAATTTCTTACATCGTAAAAAAAAAGTAATCATATTAAAATAAAACAGAAAAACGAGACATTGTTAGTACAAACAAGGATTTTACAATATTAATTTTCTAATGCTTTATCTGAAAAGTTTTATTGCAATTGATTGTCGTTTATAGTTTTTATAATTTTGTGTTAGATATAATAAATTTTGATATAATTAAATAAAAAATTAAATAATAATAAATAAATAATAAATAAACTTCACACAAGCCTGGGGCGCAATGTATTCTTGATTCGATCCTGGACAGGACGAAATTAATTTATGATTCCTTTGTTTTTTTCTTTGCTCGATAACTAGCGCGGCCAACCTAACGACTGAGTAATGATCATTAACGCTCTACCAATTAGAGTTTTGTTTCGTAAATGGCCCATCTTCTAGGATACAGTTAGAAATGAAACCCCGGAAATCGCAATGTCTGGTCGAATGAAACCACAATGGGTTTTGACTTACGTTAACCGCAACTACAGGAATTGTGTTCTCGTAGTTAGTAAATGTTACAAGTATCTTCCTAAACTATGTTAACAACTTCTACAATATACATTAAGTCTTCAAGTCTTCAAGCACTTTGAACATGTAATTTCAAAGCTTATCAACGTATTCATGAATTTTCTATAATATTTGAATAATTCAATATTTTAATTTTGATAATTTAACAAAGAAATTAACAAAGAAAGGTAAAAGTTCATTTACGATACACTTCTTCTAGGAAAAAAAACGTTTATTTACTAACGACATTTCCTTTTGTTTTTATGACTGAAAGAACTTCTGTTACAGTTGTTTTTATTATAAACAAAGGTTGGTTACATAAGAGTAATGGGTTCAAGTGTTTTTTGTGTTCTTTTCCATTCAATTTTCTCTGTATATATGTAATACAATAAGGTCTATCTAATATGAAAGACCTGATCTTAAAACTTTATCAAACGTTGAGATAGTTATATTTTATCAATAAAACTTATGATACAAAATTATTTGATTAATATATTTTCGTATAATATTTAATTATTTATATCCCATTCATTTATGTGTGTTTGTGCAACACGTTAAAATGTAACAAAGTTATTAAATTTTCGTATTTTAATTTGTACAAATTTATATATCCTGAAGCTATTATAAAAAATGTAACAAAATAGCTTTTTTTACAAAGAAAATATAAGGGACGTTTTTCGGTTTCTTATCTTTCTTTCTGACCTTTTCCAAGTTCCACTTCCTGGTGTTCTTTTTCTGAGCATTGTTCGTTTATCATTGATAAAAATCTTAATTAAGATAACACCGCATCTGTGTAAAGGGTAAACAGTTTAATTCTTTATTATAATACTTTATCCTTCGTGTACTACAATTCTAAATTTTAGAAACTGATTAACCATATATTATATCAAAAAACGTAACAAGATGAATGTATAATTTTTTACACCTATCTTTTTGATCCTGATTGTAAGACTAATTCGATGGTTAATATAATTAATATTATTTTCGACGTATAAAAAATTACAAATTTATTTAAAAAAAAATTTTTTTATTATACACAAAGTGATCTGGAAAAAAAATTGATAACATAAAATGTTGATATAATCATCATAAAACTCTTCTTGAAGGATGTTATAATATATGAATCGAAATAAATAAGATTAAAAAATGCGAATCCTCGAAGTTCAAAAGAAAACGTTTTAAAATAAATGAAATACCGAAAAGTTTATTCAAAATAACTTTTAATTAATCTTATATAAATGTTTAAAATATAGATAAAATTAAAAAAAATACGAATATTTCTTCCTAAAAGTATTTATATTTTACATTGGAATTCCTAACAATTAACTGATTTAATTAATATTAATTCGTAGTCCGGTTTGCTGCCTACATACGAGGAATACCTGCATCACAAATACGAGATGATATCGCGTTCTCACACGCCCCCACCCCCTTGGTCTGACTCCACAACAAATTCATCATCAACGACGCCATCTTCGTCAGTTATCCGAACACGTCGTGAGCTTGAAGAGTATCTCGCACAGTTGACGATCTCACAACAGAATAACGTGCATTTTGCTCAACAGCAACAACAACAGCAACACTCTGGTCCTGTCCATCGGGACGGTAGTTGTCTCACGAACCAGAAAATCTGCAGGGAACAGCAGATCAGAGTGCAACAGCGAACACGGCCAATGCCTCCCAGGTGAGAATTTTTAGACAGATAGAGAGAGATAGAGAGAGAGAGAGAGAGAGAGAGAGAGAGAGAGAGAGATGAGTTTTAGTGTTAAACCTAGCATATACTCAAGCATCTCTCACTTTGTCGATCGTTCTATATTCTGTGAAATAATTTGCATTACGAGTAGACGTCATGTTATTCCAACGTCTCATAGGATTAAAGTAGTAACAGCTTCATTTAAAAATACTGGTCTTTAGAGAAAAGGAAAATTCGTTCTTTTACGTTTTCATTTTATCTTGGTTCCTAGCAAGAGTCAGTATTTTAGAATTCTTATTCGAAAAATCCAAAGTTTCGCGAATATTGATACTAGAAAATCTAACAAGAACATTACAGTATAAACTTTTATGTTTTTATTTTGATAAAATTACAAAAACTTATGAAAATAGCATTTTGCTTTGATTACCTCAGTTGAGAAAGAGATGATAATACGAATCTTTAGTTTCATATTTCTTAACAAATTACGAACACCGTGGGAAAAATTCATAAAGGAGAAAAGTAGCTAGCAAATATTTTTAATGACGAAAGAAAGGTAAGAATTAAGTTTACCGCTGAAAACAATTTATCCCATATTTTAATGTTTTTGAAGGATTTAATCTAAAATTGAAGGTCTTCAATAATCTGGTGAAGTTTCGCAGTAATTTATAAATGCGTCTTTACTCATTCTCGTGTCTTACAAAAGACTCTTTTTTTCTTTATTTTATTTTTGACATCCGCTTAGTTTTTTTTTTCAGCGTTATCAATCTCTTACACTATCACACATATTTCTAGAATATTCGATTTGCATGTATATTCGGTCAAAGCTGGCTTATTTGGCTTAAACCTGATCGGGGTGGCTGTCAGCACGGTCGTCCCACTAGAAACATTAGTTTGTCCTCTTACTGCTAATACATGCACACACACACACACACACACATAAACACTATGGACACATACTATCCATTAAACAAGTAGTTCTAAACTAGTATTACGCAAAGTTATGAAAACGAGGCATCGATCGCACGTGTAACGCTATACTTTTATTTCTGACACAATCAAAATTTCAATTTTTTTAAAACAATTTAGTCTAAAACTTTAAGACTCTTTAAGAATAAGGTGAAGTAGCGAGTGGTCTTAAAATGAGTCTTTTGTCCTTCGCGTTCTACAATGAACTTCCGTTCTTTATTCCCTTCGACACTCGTGTCCCTTTTTCTTAACATTATCAATCTCCTCCACTCTCACTTATATTTCGAGAATGTTCGATCTTTACCTATATTCGATCAAAGTTCGCAAGAATAAAAAACAACTGTCCTGGACCGTTTATTTGTTTTCTATTTGATCAAGCTGGCTGTCGTCACGACACAAAATTGACACAGATCATTTAGACATTCGAACCAGAGGTCTTACATCTTGATAATTACTGTTTTATTCCGTTGTTCTACTTGAAATAATGTTTTCCTTTAAGTTCTCGTTCAATTCCGGAATTGTGACTAACAATATTCTTACCAAACTAAATGAAGTACTGTTAAAATAATAATCAGAGTGATCGAGTTGTAACAATCGAAATATGAAGTTATAAATTATCTTATTGTAGGGTTCGAATATTTTGAGAAGTTTATATGTAGTTACCTAATACATAGATTAAATGGATAACACCTTGATTCAATTAGATGTCCTTTTTATTTTATATAAATTCTGAAGGAGTAATAATTTTATTCGTTTGTTTAATATTTATGACTTTTTTTAATTATAAAAATTGTGAAAAATCGTTTCTTTTTTCTCAAGAATACGTGAAGAATATATTTATCCTTTATTTTCCTATAGAGTGTCCTAAGGATTTGGACAATTGGAAAATACATTTCTATAAACGTCAATTTGCCAATTGCTCTCGGATTTTCGTGATCGTTGTACGGAATTGTAGGAAGAGCTGAACGTTTAGTTAAAGTTTAGCAAACGCGACCATAACGCAGCCACAAGCTTGTAGTACCTTTGTCAATTTCAGTCGTAGAACTTTATCGAATATTCCTCACGGACAATTAAAGGCTACTGTGTGTATCCATTCAATGCAAACGGCTATTAATTCCATACCATAAATAAACTAGAAAGCAAGACGATGGAAATCGAAATTCTGACTCAAAATCCAATCAGCATTTTACTCCAATTAAATTCATCGAACAACATTTCTCAGAAAATCAAATAAATTCGACGAGTACAATAACTTTGAACGCAAACATGCGCGTTTTATGATTTCAACTTTAAAATAATAATAATAATACTATATTATTTTCATGACCTAAAAAATCTTTATTGATCTTGCGCTTTGGAAACTATGTAGAAAATTTGTAACAAAAATAAAAAGATAAAACAAATGGAGAGAATACATAAATCTAATAAACGGAGTAAAAAATTGTCCATTTACTGAACTTGATAAATTAAATCTTTTTTTCTTGTAATCCATTTTTTTATCTCTTTAAAAAAAAAATAATTAATATATAACGAATAATATTAGAAAATGCTTTTTCTAAAATCCTATATTGAAAGTAACTCAAATAAAATATGTTTCACATTTTTTGAAAAAGTAAAGAAAAAACGATGTTTTGTTATTTTTTGACAAAATAAATTTGTATATGTTGAATTTTTTCTGTTTCAAAAAAATATTTTACACGAATATAAATGTGAAGATATGTAAATATGTATGTTTACACATAACAGTGAAAATATATTTAAAATACGGTTTGTCTGCTCGCTATGCGATGTAATTGAACCTTTTCGTTTAATTTATGATTTCTCGGAAGACCGCAAAAATATTACTACATTTTCATTTCCAAAGCAATTCAGACGTACAGATAAATATTGCTTTAATGATGGATTTTCGATATTTGCTTTCCTGTCTCATCGACGTACGATCGTTGTATAATATGATTGCGGTAAATATCTATAAATAAATAAAAATATTTATTTGGGTATATGCTAACGTGCGTGCACATATGTTAGAGTTTAAAGAACTACATGTATATAAGATGATTCTTAAAACTGGGACAGACTAACTGCTCTTTATTAAGTAAAAAAAAAAAGAAAAATAATCATATGAAATAATACGTCCTAACTTCCTGTTTCTTTATTTTTTATGTGGATGCACCGATGCACCTGCCAGGTACTATTGCACTTTATTCTTTAATGCAACCCTAATTTTGTTTTAAACCAAAAGATTTCTTTTTTTATCGTGCATATAAAAATACTAATTCAATGTCATCAAAATGTCAATACTTTACAAGATATTTGACATCTTATATCGTTATTATTTTATATATCAATTTATTTTTATTAATAAATTTTACTTTTTAATTTGCCTACCAAAAACTCTTACCAAAGTGCAAATATGAAGCAAACAAAATTTGAAATATAAAAAATGTCAAAACCAATAGCATATAGGATGTAAAATATTTCAAACTCAATAATACTTCATTTTCAATAAAAACCTTTCAAAAGTAAAGTTCAACTGCTAATATAATTGGTTTCTATAAAAAAAAAAACGACATACTTCGTGTAATTTTTAATAATTCACATTGTTTACTTTCCAAAATATTGCAGTATTTCATACGAAAGTACAGTTTTCATTTATGCAGGATGTTTCAAATCCTTGTTTCCAAATTCCAAACTATAGCCATTTTTATATTATACGTGTTGTTTCATGATTCATAGAAGCTGTTTAAAGTGGCCACCTTCAGCTTCATTGAAGGCTTTCAAAATCATCTTATCATAAATTTTCTCATTCGTTCAAAAATACTAGATTATGTTTCAATTTTTTCAACAACTTGAGATAAGAAGCTTACTTAAAGTTGAAGCTTACTTGAATTGAAGCAAGCAGTCAATAAAATTATAAGAATTACTAGAAAATATAAAAACAAACTATAATTCGGAAACGAGGATATAATTATGGGTCACCATTTCAGGTTATGTTCATATATTTTGAAACATCTTTTATAAATATATATCATATTAAAAATATATTTCACTAGGTCAATTGATGTGGTACTCATCTAATAAAAATCAATAAATAATTTCAGGTCGCAGAGCGAGAGTCGGGCACATCAACAAAGACTCGCAACGATGTACGAAGATGGTGCTTTTTGCATGGAAACAACGGCACTAACTTCAATGTTCGAACATGGCGTAGCTTTTTGTAGCCTAATGTAAGAGATAACTTTCGTGAGAAAGAACTATTATCTAAGATTAAAAGTCAAATATCACGATTGCAATTTTGACTTTCCGAAAAAAAATATGAAATTCAAGAAGATTAACAATACCAACAAATTCATTATTGTTCTCTTCGTGTAGGCTGTCGTGTGTGTGCTAAATCATTGAATTATATCAACAAATTTTTATCTTTGATCTATTGATCGATCAATCACTGTCTTAAAAGAATGATCGATTGCAATAGAAGAAAAAGAAAGAAAATAAGAATAACAGCTTATATAAGGTTCAACAAAAAGTTATCAATTATTTTATGAATTATCGATTGACCTAATGCATTTGGTTTTTCAATTTTTTAACTGGGTAACAATGGTTTGCAACTGAAAAATATATTTGTAAAAGGCATAGAGAAGGTCCCAGATAAAGATGTCTATATATATATATTATTAAGTATTTAAATACAAGTTATATTAAAGTATTTAACGTGTATATGCATGCTTAAATATATATATATAAGAGAGTAGTTTGATTTTTAAATAAGTGTATATTTTTTTTGATTAACTTCATCTTTATATTCGTAATATCAGGTTTGAAATTTTATATGCAGTGAGTGTCCTTTAAAATCATACATCGGTACGCTTATTAAATTTTTGTTCGAAAACTATAGATATAATATTTTTAGGATAAAGAAAATTTAGAAATAAATACATTAGCATACCATAATTACATATTTAATAAGTTAAACTTGAATGCTTCATTTACAATAGGTTAATTAAGCAAAGACAAAAATAATGTACAGAAAACACCTGTACCTTAAAATTGTATATGTTAGTATAACTGTAAAAGTAATGTAATATCATGTTTGACGATTGATGATCCTTTGTTTTTACTGTAATTTAAATGTTTTTTAGTATCAGAATCAGATTCATACCCATTAAGGTAAGAATAATACAAAATATATTTGTTTAAAAATTACATATTTATAAATATACTTTGNGTTTTTTAGTATCAGAATCAGATTCATACCCATTAAGGTAAGAATAATACAAAATATATTTGTTTAAAAATTACATATTTATAAATATACTTTGAATATTAAACAATATCGATATAATACAGAAAGTTTTAAATTGAAAGTCATCATTAGTCTGGAAAGTTTAAATAAATGTATTTTAATTTAATCTATCTTAAATATTAATACAGTACATTAAAATGTTATATTTACCTCAAATGATCGTTAATTAATCGAAAGAAATGTATATTGTAATTTAAATGCACAGAGCATAAGTTAGACGTCCTTCCTCTTCGAAAACAAACAATAAACTGACTCGTTTATACTCTGTGAAAGTTCTTTTATTAAACGTTGTTTATTTGACTTTCTGCTGGCTACACGTGTATAACAAAAATTATATGCATAGTAAATAGAATTTATTTTTCTGAAAGTCATATAAACAACAATCAATAAAAGAATTTTAACTGATTTTCATAGATGATAAACAGCCAGTCTAACGTTGGATTTCGAAGTGAACGGTACCTTTAACTTATACTCTGTGCATTTAAATTACAATATACATTTCCTCCGATTAATTAACGATCATTTGAGGTAAATATAATATTTTAATGTACTCTACTAATATTTAAGATTAATTAAACTAAAATACATTTATTTGAGTTGAAAATTTACAGTATAATAAAATATCAGATCGAAATTGTTTAATATTCAAAGTATATTAATAGATACGTTATTTGTATTGTTAATATAATAAATTTTCTTGTCCAAAATTTTCTAATATTATTCAATCTTAGGGATATTTTTTTGGACAGGTTTTAATTAGATGAACAATCTATTAATCAGTTGAAGTTAATCAGTTATTTGTATTATTCTTACTTTAAAGATTATTAAATTGAATCGAGTATTAAAAAAAATTTAAATAACAATAAAATCAAGAGATGACCAATCATTAGACATGATATTCCCCCTGCTTTTACAGTTATACTAACATATACAATTTTAAGGTACAGGCATTTTCTGTACAATATTTTTGTCTTTGCTTAATTAACCTATTGTAAATGAAGCATTCAAGTTTATCTTATTAAATATGTAATTATGGTATGCTAATGTATTTATTTCTAAATTTTCTTTATCCTAAAAACATTATTTCTATAGTTTTTGAACAAAAATTTAGTAAGCGTTACGATTTATGATTTTAAAGGACACTCACTGTAAGTTGTCAACAGGAACGAACGTTTTTATAAATGCAATATTAAAGATAATAATATGAAAGTTATGCATATGAAATACGAAGAACGGTCTAGGAAGTTCTCAGTATTCAGTCTATGTCATTTTACAAATATAAAAAATATATTATATGATATAATTAATCTATAGTTGTATACAAATATTATTATATTTAATAATAATTCCATTAAATATAATTTTAATATTATAYTATATTCATTATTGCTATTATATTAAATAACTATATTACATATATAAATACATATATGAGTATATAAATGCACTTAAAACTCTTTCCACATGACACTTTTTTTACATGTCATATTTAACACATTGTAGTTAATTACTTATATTTATATTATGCTATATCATATAATATATATATATATTAATACTTATTATACTTATGTAAAAACGTGGCCTACGTTGTTTAAATCGATAAACTTTATATTTTAAACACGACGAGTGTACTCTAAATAATAGGAATGATCAAAGTAGTAACTTAAAAAGTCAATATTGTTACCTGGTTACGTGCATACGTTTTATCATGAAAATCAAATAATTCTCAATAGCGAATGAAATATGTATTTCTAATTCCTTTTATCTTATCAGACTGATCTTCGGGAATCTGGTTTTTAAATGTTTTGTCGATCATCTGTCGGCTCTTATCCTGTCGAAAGTTTGAACAGCACTATTTGTTTCTTTATTGACAATGTATTTATTTGCTTACAGAACTTTTCCTCTTATCGGGTATTAGTATTTTTTTATGTATTTGTATTTTTAAATGAAAATTCTGCGTATCGAAATCAAAAAATCTAGGAAATAGTGGACTATAAATATGGCAGAAAAATACCGATCACTGTCGACGACTGTCAATATTGGACTTATTTTTTTTCTAGCTTTATCCTCTTTCGAAAAAATATTTTGAATGGAAATATTTGTTTTTCTTTTAACTATTTCGGTTAAAAAAAAAAGAAGAAATGAAATAAAAAACTGACGTGCAACGTTCTGTGTTCGCAATTAAATAGAAAATTAAAAATTTGAAGGTAGTAAATGTGAAATAGCATGCGAATATATATAACTGACTTTCTAACACCTCTTTTGTTTATTTTACTTTTTTAAATAGTTTGTTTTTTCATGATCGTTAAAATTTCGTGACAAGTAACATTTATGAAATAAAAATAGGAGAGGAGAGATGAGAATAAAGTAAAATTTTTGTTTTTTAATCTAACCGCATCCTTTTTTTTCAATCATATAATGTAATATAATATACATTACACAAGGTTTTTCAAAAGTTACTTTACCGAGAAAGAAAATCACAATATTGATTTACAACTAGAATTAAAATATTTTCTTTTACATCTTCAGATATGAATGTTCAGTTACAGTGTTTTTTTAAAAACAAAGTATGGATCAACTTAATACTCGCCGAAAAAAAAAACTTTGAAAATTTTCAATTTTGTAAATTGGCTTTTGGAACACCCAGTATATATACCTATATAAGGAGAAAAGGAGGAAAAGTCTTGAAACTATCATAGAAACTATTCTTTTTTTTTACTAAACTTTTTTTTATTTTTAATAGAAAATAAAAGTTTGTTTTTCGTTTAGGATCAAAACTTTTCCAACCTGCCCTCGTATATTACATTATATTATAATAATTCTATTTAATTACATTATATGTGTAGGATCGAAAACCTCAATGCCTGATAAAATAGGCAATTGTGGGGTAATTGATCGAAAGGTCCTGGATAGCTCAGAAGTTTGATCAATCGCCCAAAAACGAAATACCCGATCAAGTCAGTCCAATGGGCTATTTTTTGTCACTAATTCATCATATATATGGTGACTAAGATGAGCGTATTTAAAAAAAATGTTATATAAACATAAGTCATTTAAAGTATTATTCAAAAGTTACAATAAATTGTAAAACTATTTAAGTTTGCTGTTAAAAGATGATGTTCAGCCATTCAACGTATGCTGTTTACTATTTTAGAATGATTCAAATAAATGATTCTTCTCTGAACAATAGTTTGGCCATCTAAAATCTTCTAATTTCACCACACTAGATTTTTATATGTAGGAAAAACTAAAACAACAAATTTATGCAACTGAAATAACCACACTTAATGTTATCGTGAAAAATATTAAGGATGCAGTTGCAAAAATTAATAGAAATCCACGAGAAAATAACCAAGTCATAAACAGCATACTACAGCGGTGTCAAACTTATATTCGTATAGACGGGCAACATTTTGTACAGTAAATTTAGATATTTTTATAATTAATGTTATAAATTTTGAAAAAGCTTCAAATGATTTATGTTTATAAAACATTTTTGCCTTATTTTTTAGCATATAATACATTCACAACGTGTGTACGAAAAGATCTCAGACACCCCGTATTTATAGTAGTTGTGACCTTTCCAAATGATAAAATCGATATCATAAAAATCGTAATAGTTGAATTTTTAGAGATATCGATTATATTAACAGAAAATTCTTCCAATGGATTCAGGAATACAAATCTGTCATCACTAATGAGAGTAGTCTGTGTGTATGTGAGTAATAAAAATCATCTATCTAAATAAAAAATAAGAAGCGTTCTAAAAGTTAATAATTATAAATGTGTAGTTTTATCCGATACGAAATTAGTGATATATAAAAAAAATCAGTATTAACGTCATATTATACATAGAAATCGTGACGAAAATTTGAAAAATGAAATAAAAAATAAGAAAAATTGTTACCATTTATCACGAATTAATTATTTGTTTGGATACCTACAAAGGTACGAAAAAAATAACGTTGAAATGTTGGAAGTTTAAAAATGATTAAAGAATATAAATGATTATAATGATCGCGTATTGTATATTCCTATGATCGATAAATTTGCAAAAAACGATCATGGAATTATGAAAATAAAATAGTAAAAAAATATACTCTTGTAAAATCTGATATTTAGAAAAATAAACAATTAGAATTTAAATCGATCGATAAAAAGAAAAATAACTAAACTAATTTATTCACATTCTACGAATTCATGACCGACATAAAATTTTATTTTTTAATCTTACGTATTAACTAATCGTTTATTTATATTAATATAATACTTAAGATAGCAAAGAAAATTGTTTAACGTCAATTATTCTTTAACATTTTCGTATAAGAATTAGAATAATTAAAAATCATTTATTATTATAGAGTTTGTAAATGTGTGTTAACTATATAAATTAAATTG